TTCCAGCTGTGCCCCCCAAGGTGCTCAGCCGTGTCCCCCCCCAAATCCCCACAGCCCCCCAAGGACAGGCTCCTCCCGGGATCAGCTCCTCCTTTATTGGGGACCCCGGGACAGGGCTGTGCCCCCATCCCACTGTCCCCCCACAGCCAGGTCACCCTGTCCCCCCATCCCCCTACATGTGGGTCTCCTGCAGCAGCAGCTCCGTGGTGGTTTCGGGCTCGGGGGGGTCCCGGGAAGGGCTCCCTTCCCCCTCCAGCCTCTCTGGCAGCGCCTGGGAAGCTCCAGCCTTGTCCAGGGTCTCGTCCCTGGGGGTCCTGCCTCCCAGGGGGACCCCCGAGGGTGTGTTCCTCACGATGTCCCACCACAGCACCCCCGGGGGCCGCTGCCTCTGCCGGGTGGGCCCTGCCGGGAATGGGGGGGTCAGGGAGGGGGTGCAGGGATGGGACCTCCCCGTGCCAGGTCACGGCACCCCCCCGGCTCACCTGGCAGGGAGCTGAGCAGGACCCCCACCCCCACCGTGACGAGGGTCCCCAGCGCCCCGTAGTACAGGTAGGACATGGAGTAGAAGTCATCCAGGATGGCCGGTCTGTGGGGGGACATGGGGACACTGGTGTGACGTCACAACGAACGAGGAGATGGGTGTGACACCAGAAGGGACAAAGGAAGCACGGTGACATCACAAGGAATGAGGGGAAAAGCGTCGTGGCATCCCAAGGGAAGCAGTGTGACGTCATGAGGGACAGCAGTGTGACGTCACACGGGACAGGGGAAGCCCTGTGACATCACAACAAGCCACCCACCTCCCCGGCCACCCCCCGGCCTCCCCCTCTCACCGTGTGGGCTCCAGGGGGTCCCCAGGGGGGCCGAGGGGCGTGGGCAGGGCGGTGCTGTTGGTGCCAGTGCTGTTGTAGGGGGGGCAGAGGGCCCCGGAGCTGGGCAGGACCCCCATGGTGGCCGCGCTGGGGGGGTACAGGGTGGCCCCCACGGCCACCCAGAAGGACATGGCGAAGCCAGCGGCCAGGCCCCCCAGGACACCCTGCAGCACAGGACAGGGGGGGCCTGCACAGCCTGGGGGGGCTGGGATGGACCCCAGAGACCCCCTGAAAATCCCCCTGCAGAGCCACAGCCAAGCTGCAGAATGGCAGAACCCCCCCTCCCAAAATCCCCGGGCTCACAGCAGGGACATGCCCAGGACACCAAAGAGCAACCCCCACCCCCAAATTCCCACTCCCCAAAATCCCCCCTCAGTCAATGGTTCTGCTGCAGAGCTGCAGGACCCAGAACCCCCCCTCCCCAAAACCCTCCTCCCCAAA